GAAAAAGTAGGAAGATCACGTGTAATTACAGCAATAAATTAACAGACACACAAACATGCAAGAAGTAAAAAATAATGACAGAAACAAACGCAGAGGGGGGTGAGCAAAACCATAGTGATTTTACGATGTGTGGGAACTTAAAGTACCCATTTAAAAGCCTGCTGCAAACACGGCGGGGAGCCAGGGAGCACGTGGCGATGCCCACGCAAACACCTACAGCCAGAGAGCCAGCGAGCCGAACAGCGCTGCAGAGTCCCCCACATGCGGCGACGGATGAGAGCGGGGACCAGAAAGCAGCGAGACGGACGCGGTCAGAGATAGACACACGGTCAGAGACGGAGAAACGGCAGTTACTGTGAACACAGCAGTCACCCCTTTAATTGGAAAGGGACCAAATGTTCCAACTAAGACATAGGGTGGCTGAGGGATAAAAATAAAAAGTGACACCCAGACATACGCTGCCTACCAGAGACCCGCTGTCAATCAGAGAAAAGAGATGGGACAAGGGATTTTATACAGACGGAAATGAGAAGAAAGCTGGTGCAGCAGCGATACTTCAGCGGACAGACCAGACTTCGAGACGAAGCCTGCAGTGAGAGAGGCGCGTCACCACGCGAGAGGCATCGCCCCGACAAGCGGGGACAGCTCTTGTTAAACACCTACGCACCCCACACAGGAGCACCCAGACGCACAGCAAATCTGAGGGACATAAAGGGCCCGCAACAGTAAGAGTCCTGGCAGGGGGCTGTAACAGCCCACTGACATCAGTGAACATCCACAGGGAAACAGTGGCCTTAAATGACGCTGTTGATGTCAGACTGACTAAGTTGATGTATTTAGGACATGTCACACAAAAGCAGCAGAATACCCATTCTTTTCAAGTGCACATAGGATATTTTCAAGGACAGACCACATCAGGCCACAAAACAAGTCTCGATAAATTCCAGACGACTGAAATCTTCTCAGGCATCTTCTCTGATCGCAATGGTCTGAAACTAGAAATCGGTCATAAGAAGGAAACTGAAAAACACACAAACACACGGAGGAACACTGAATGGGTAAATAACGAGATCAAGGAAGACACCGAAAGGCACCTTGAGACAAATGCAAATGAAAACACAGCGATCTCCAAATATGGAACACAGCCAAAGCAGTTATAAGGGGGAAATTCGGCAATGCAGGCCTGCCTCAGGATACAGAAAACCTCCATCTAACCCTAAACCTAAAGGGACTAGAGAAAGAGAAAAGAAAGCCCAAAGTGAAAAGAAAGAAAAGAAAGATCAGAGTAGAAATTTCAAGAAAAAGTCTAAAAAAACAATAGAAATCATTATTAAAACCAAGAAATGGTTCTTTGAAAAGATGAACAAAATTGATAAACCTTAGCCAGAATCATCAAGAAAAAGAACAGGCCCAAATAAATAAAATAAAAAATGAAAGAGAAGTGACAACCGACACCACAGAAATACGAAGGAATATCGGGAAATACTATCGACTGTTATGTGGCAATAAATTAGACAACCTGGAAAGAATGGATAGATTCTTAGAAACAGATAATCTTCCAAGGCTGAATCAGGAAGAAACAGAAAGTCTGAACAGACCGATTACTACTAATGAAATCAAATCAGTCATCAAAAACTCCCCACACACTAAAATCCTGGACCAGATGGCTCACAGGTGAATTTTAGCGAACATTCCAGTAAGAACTAACGCCTATCCTCAAACTACTCCAAAACACTGAAGTGAAGGGAAGCCTCCCAATCTCACTTTATGAGGCCAGTATTACCCTGATTCTAAAACCAAAGACACTACCAAAAAAAGGAAAGGAAAAAAAAAAAGAAAAAAAAAAAAAATTGTAGGCCAATATCCCTGATGAACGTAGATGCAAAAATTCTCAACAAAATATTAGCAAACTGAATTCAGCAATACATTAATAAGATCATACCCCATGACCAAGTGGGATTTATTCCCAGGATGCAACGCTAATTCAATATCTTCAAATCACGTCACGTGATACACCACACAAACGAAATGCAGGATAAACATCCTGATCACGACAACCCATGCAGCAGAAGCACTAGACCAAATTCAATGTCCACATATGATAAAAAGTCTCAGCAAAATGGGGATGGAAGGTACAGAGCTCAAAATAACAAAGGCCATACTATGACAAGCCTACAGCTAACATCATACTCAAAGATGAAAACTGAAAGATTTCTCTTTAAGATCAGCAACGGGACAAAGATGTTCATTTTCACCACTTTCATTCAACAAAGTAAGGGCAGTCCTTGCCACAGCAATCAGACAAGAAATAAAGCGCATCGAAATAGGAAAGGAAGAAGTAAAACTGTCATGAGTTACAGAAGACATGATTCTATACACAGAGAACCCTAAAGATTCCACAAAAAAGCTCTTAGGAAAAATGACTTCAGTAAAGAAGCGGGATACAAAATTAAAATCCAGAAATTGGTTGCATTTTTATACACCAGTAATTATCTGAAGTAAAAATTAAGAATAATTCCATTTTATAGCT